GACAGTGTGGGAGGAGGATAGCAAGTAGAGAAGGGTGAAAGGGAGGGAATCGAGGGGAAAAAGAACGAAGCAAAACATTTAAGGGACACAAAAATGGGAAATTATCTGTTGATTATCTTGTATTTTATACAGATATTGACACTGCCTACTATTTAGTAATGGGGTGGGAAGTGGGTATCTCATGAACTCTTTGACAAAGGTTATTGGTGTAACCTTCTGGAAGATTATTTGACAGTCTGGTTCAAAATTTACAGTGGGATAACACTAACTGCTGGTAAGGATATAGAAAATAAAATCATTCATACATTGCTGGCAGAGCTGTAAAATGGCATAACTACTCTGAAAATAGGTTGGCAGTTTCTTTTAAAACTAAACATATGATCCATCAATTCTACTCATTAGCATTTATTCCAGAGCAATGAAAACTTATGTTCATACAAAAGTCTGTACATAAATGTCCACTGAAGCTCTATCTGTAATGTCAAAAACTAGAAACAACTCAAATACCCTTCAACTGGTGAATGGTTAAATGACAATGCATTTATACCATGGAATCCTAACTAGCAATAAAAGTAAATGAGCTATTGATAACAACTAATGACCTGGCTGAATCTGAAGGTTATTTTGCTGAATAAAAAAGCCAATAAAAAATGTATGCATGTATGATTCCATTTATATAGCACTTTTAAAAAAAGAATTATTTTACCTAGCTGTATTCATTTATTTATTTTAATTTGACCAGAGAGGGACAGAGTGAGAGCAAGAGAGAGAGAGAGAAAGTGAGAAAGCAAACCATCAGGTATGGGATTTGAACTGCTGTCAGCCAGGTGGGAGTCCAGGATGACATAAAAACAATGAACCAGCAGATGGCATAATGGTTATGTCACTGGACTCCCATATGGCTGACCATGGTTTGAGTCCTGGACCTAGAGACTTGAAACTCACACCAGGCACATGTGCATGTGTACCCAAAATCCAAAGAGGAGAATGGAGGAGAAGGGATTGCAGCATGGCCATCCCCTTGGCGGAATGATTTCTAGTTTTCTGTCTGTCTCTCCAGTGAGTGCATGTGCTGTAGAGCAAAAATCTCTCTATAAAAATTTTAAAACAAAAGAACCAATGGAACAGAACAGAGAACCCAGAACTAAACCCATATATACACAATCAACTAATGTTTGACAAAGGCCCCAGGAACACACAACAGGGAAAGGATAATTTCTTTGAATGGTGTTGGAAAAAGTAGATATCCATATGCAAAAGAATGAAATTGAACCCTCCTCTTATCTTGTTCACAAAATCCACCTTTAAAAGGATTAAATACTTAATTGTAAGATCTGAAACCATAAAACTTCTAGAGAAAAAAAAAATAAAGCCCTTTGACATTAGTCTTGGCAATGATATTTTCATGTATAACACCAAAAACTCAGATAAAAATGGTATGAAAATATGACTACATTGGGGCTGAACCCATAGACTAGTGGTTAAGGGAGCCAGATCCCACATGGTCAACCTCAGTTTGAATCTAGCCCTGGTGGCTTGAGAACGAATCTGTCATCCAGAAGCACCCAGAGTTCATTAATCATAAAGGAGTTGTATTCCATCATGACAAAGTGAGACCACATACAAGTCTGATCACCCATCAAAATTATTGGAACTTGGGAACCAGCAGTTAGCGTAATGGCTATGTCACTGGATTCCCACATAGTCGACCGCGGTTCGCGTCGGGAGTCAGATCCCACGTGGTCAACCTCAGTTTGAATCTGGCCCTGGTGGCTTGAGAACGAATCTGTCATCCAGAAACACCCAGAGTTCATTGGTCATAAAGGAGTTGTATTCCATCATGACAAAGTGAGACCACATAAAAGTCTGATGACCCATCAAAATTATTGGAACTTGAATGTGTTGCCACACCCTTGCACCATCAGACTTCTACTTGTTTTGCTCTCTTCAAAACTCCTTCTGTGGTATAATATTTTAAAAAGCAAATAATGAAAACTGTGTGGCAGGGAAAGGATAATTTCTTTGAATGGTGTTGGAAAAAGTAGATATCCATATGCAAAAGAATGAAATTGAACCCTCCTCTTATCTTGTTCACAAAATCCACCTTTAAAAGGATTAAATACTTAATTGTAAGATCTGAAACCATAAAACTTCTAGAGAAAAAAAAAATAAAGCCCTTTGACATTAGTCTTGGCAATGATATTTTCATGTATAACACCAAAAACTCAGATAAAAATGGTATGAAAATATGACTACATTGGGGCTGAACCCATAGACTAGTGGTTAAGGGAGCCAGATCCCACATGGTCAACCTCAGTTTGAATCTAGCCCTGGTGGCTTGAGAACGCATCTGTCATCCAGAAGCACCCAGAGTTCATTAATCATAAATGAGTTGTATTCCACCATGA